TTCCTATCCAAACTTAGAGCGTGTTAAGTACAGCTTAAAATCTAATTAAAATCAATTTTTCGACTGTTATTTCACTATTCTAATCGTCATTTAATTTTTTTCTCAAAAGTAGGACACACTTTATCTCTAACGGTCAAAAAATCAATTAACAAAATCCTTACCGAACAAGCACTTGCCATTAATATGGATTGAAATGTCAATTTTGCCCTTAAATTTATCTAAATAAGAAAAAATGAATTAAAAAAAAGGTAGCTGATAAGTACTATTTGTGTATTTATTTATCCACATTATTAAATTTTTAAGTCGTCAATTTATTAATTTTTATCTAACTTAGGTTAACTTTCATCGTGTTTTTAGTGATGAACTAGTTTGAAGCATTTGGAAAAGGATGAAGGACTAATTGGCCATTCGATGAGAAGTTTGGAGACAATTATATGTTTAGTATATCTTGGGAAAGAATAATAAATAAATTAAGGAATTATTGATCGTCACAATTGCATAAATTGAGATAATTATCACTGGTTGAGAATTAGAACTAAGAATTGATCAATGACGTCGGAAATCCAATACGTTTGCATATTTGATTTTTTAACCAACTTTCATTGTTTTCACAAGTTTTAGTTATAAAAATTATTTAGCTATTCATTCGTTCGTCTTTTGATTACAAACACGAATTTAAATATATCAAATATACTAAAATTGATCTTTATTCCCTATAAGACGATAACTCTCTCATTACTATTATTACTTGTACAACGAATTCGTACGCTTGCGAGATTTTGACGAACAGTAACTGTCTTCATTATTAAAAACTAGCGCAAATATTTCTCAAGCATCTCAACCTCCAAAGCCACTACTGTAGACTCCACCCTTGCCGCGAGTATTGGATACAGTAGGGGTGAGTCATTGAAACTTTGAATTTTTTCTTGGGTAATTATATTCACACTACAATTTTTGTTAGATACACCACATTTTAATTGTATTGCAAATTCTTAATCTTTGCTCATTTTTGCACTTTTATTTCTTACTTTTTTAATTACAATCTTATTCTCAAACATTATCTTAATTTTTCAGATCTTATATGTAATGAAGATTTTCGTCCATAAAATTTATCAAGAGGCTTATTTATTTTCTCATATATTTTAAATAACAAAATAAGTTTGACGAAATTATTGTCGCTAATTTCAACACATTTGCAACAAAAAAAATTAAAAAATAAATAGAGAGTCAAAAATCGCAATATGAGACAAGGTATGCTAATTTTGCTTGAAGGTTAATGATTAGCATGCAATGAAAACAGTTGGGGATATAAATATATAAATGGTCAAAAATTGAAGAACGTCATTGCAATTTAAATAGGGGTGCTGTGATGTTAATATAATTACTTATTTATTTGATTTATGTTGTGTCATGTGTGTATACACACAGTGACACCCCTCAAACATTGAGGAGAGTCCACGAATAATTTATTATGCATGAACCTCCTTTCGTGTGAGGAGTTTAAAAGATTGTATACATCAAAGGTATACACGTACCATAATTCCCTTTTTCCCCTTGTTGCTGTGCATTATTCTTTGTACAATTCCCACCAGTTCCATTTTCTCGCGTACATCATCAGAATTTTTATTCTTTTTATTTATAGAGAGATTTTCTTCAGAAACTTTTTGAATTTAATCTAAAAACGTCGTCTTCCATTGGAGTCTTATGACAATACTTCCTCTTAATTTTTTTTCTTCTAATTATTTGTTTGTTGACTCTTGAATAGTCTACGATAAAAAGAGAACAATTTTTCGGAACCTCATAATCCATATTCCACTGCATTGTCGGCGACTAGTTGGGACGGCGGTGGAGGTTTACTGGAGCTTAGTGATGAAATGGATCTCTTCATATTTTTTTTTCAGTTATTTTGATTGATTTATTTTTTGTTTTTTTTTTGGTTTATATAAACTCGAGCAAAATTGAGGCCCCATTTGTTTGCAATTTTTTTAAGAATGAAAAATGAAAAATGAAAAATGAAAAATATAGCAATTACGGGCTCCACACAAGCGATAGAAATTCAAATTTGATGGCTTAATGTGATGGATAACGATCATATTTTTCATTTTAATGAGAAAAGAATGAGAAGCAAACAGGGGCTGAAATTTTAAATTATTTTAACAAGAACTTTGGACGAAAACTGATATTGAATTTGTTAACGTTCAAGGATACATGAACCAAGAAATAATAATTTAAAATTTCGGTTAAATGTAGATTATTCGCTATCAATTTTCAAAATACAGGTAAATCTAAATTCTCATGGTTAAAAATATTTTAGAATGAAAAGACAATGTGTATTTTAATATTTTTTCACAACAGCAAATATTATCTAATTCTTCTTTCCATATTTCCCCAGGAGAATATTTCATTTTACGATATTTAGAAGGAAACACGAGTTAAATCCCACGTGACATTGCCAGATAGAGCGAACTGTAAGAGGAAACTTCACATGACAAAAGAAAGAAAAAAACCGTTTCATCATAAAGATTAAAGAACAACAAAAACTGTAGGGAACAGCTTTCTCAATTCCTTTTACTCGTATAATTCATGCTTTCACCATTAAGATCTCACCACATAGCTTTTTAGGTACCTGTTGCAGTGATTCTCCTTCTTGCCATGCCTGCCCGATCAGAACCCCAGGTCCCACATGACGAACATATATAACAACTTGATCGTTGAACGGCCAAGGATGAATTGCTGAAATGACGGAGAACCAATGCTAAGTCAGCGATAACTAGAAACAACTCAAATGGCATCTAGAATATACAAGACGCTATGAGCAAAAGATTGAAACTATTATGCAACTCAGAACAGCATTTACGCAAAGTACCAAACAAATAAAGATACCTGGCTTGGGGAATCCTTGTGGATATTCTTTAAGGTTCAGGAGGCCATCTCCAAATTCATATGATAAATCACAAGGCTGCTCTGTTGACAACACCTCATTGGCTTCTCTAACGGTAAAATACAAAGGCGGAAAGAAGCTGAAAATTCCAGCCAGGAGAGACCTACCTGAGCGACAAACCTCATTACATTATGTAATAGTTCCCGAAAAACTAGCTGCATGATTCAATCTTCTATATATGCTTCTTTTTTTTCCTCTCCCTTTACATAAACTAAGAGGGTCAGGGAATCCAACCCAACAACGCACGCACGCACAAAGTTTAGGTGGAGACCCTAAATCCTGCCTAGACTTAGCTGGTGTTTTGCCAATATATATATATATATTTTTAAAAGGCCATACATGAAATCAAGAAAACCCTGGAGACACCAAAAGAGAAGGAAAAGAGAACAAAAATTTACATACATCAAGAATTTTATCTGTCGGATGCATCATCAGTGCCTAGGTGGTCATGGAGAAGTGAGAGACGTTTCATACACTAAAGAAAAGTCATCTTTTAGTATATATTTCTATTCTATTCGAGAGACAAAACAGCTTCTTCTATGTATTGAATTGTATGAAATTTCACAGGTGACCCCAATTAGCAGATTTTACTGTACACTAAAAGTAACTAGGCCCCCGTTTGGCCCCCCATTCTCTTTCATTTTTTTCCCTCACTCCTATATTTCAACCACACGATCTTCCAGAAAATAATATTATACGTAAATCGAAAACTTTTCATTCTTTTTTAACCACACATTCTTAAAAAAAAAAAAGTCGATATTGGTGGGTTTTTCTTTTTTAAACCAACAATTTTAAAAAAAAAAAAAAAAAAAAAAAAAAAAAAAAAACCTATTCCAAGCAAAAAAATGGGGGCCAAAAGTGGGCTAGGTATGCAGCGTCAGCTATGCGGCATCTCAGACAAGTTTGATGAAGTAAATTTCAGATTCCATGAAAATAATTTACTGCAAGTAGACTTAATCATTGGTCAATTTACCAATAAGACGTCCATATGTGTTCCCATCTTTGTAGCGGAATAAGGCCTGGCAAATTCAATGGGAAAGACAATTTTAAAATAACTCTCATATCTGAGAGGTCCATACGAAAAAAATAATAACTGAAACATATGTAAATATATAATAACTGAAACATACATAAATCAGGAAGTTTGATATTACAGATAAGAATGCTTAAAGAAGCAAAAATTTACCTTCTGGAAGAATTTGATCCAAGAAATAGGAAAAGGTCCTGTACCATAATAGTAAATTGTCACAAAATTTCTTCAACTTATTACCATGCAAATAGAATTGTATCATCCGCACAAGATTTCTTCATAAAGATGGCAACTATATATGTCTAAGCATGAGCAGTATGGAAAATTCAACAAGTTAGGAGGAAATTAACGATGCCCACAATATGAGTAGTCAGAAATAATAAATGGTATATGACACCCAGTTTTGCTAAAAGTTATAAAATTACTTCAACTTGGTCTAACTTGTTAGCAGTCTTTATTCCAAAAGTGAGCAAACGACAATTATACCGTTTTCCTTCTCTGTGAATTTTCTTCTGTATCATCAATTTGGAGGTTTGTTAAGAAAATGGTGTTTTGTGAATAGACAATGAAATTGAAGTAATAAAATGATTAATATAGATTGCGTACATAGATGTTTTGGCAAATTTAGGTGAATTACCTCCACTGGTTCGGCAATCCCACATTTCAAGAGAACTTGTGCCATTTTGATTAGAGAGCAAGCCAGATGCACTTTTATTCGCCAACTTGGCGTCATCATATCGTGTACCAGCTATCTCCCAAGCCCTCGATATAAGTCTAGGAGCAGTCCAAGGAAAAATAAGAGAGTGAGACAGGCATCATAATTAGTATTCCTCTTCCTATTCAAATTATCTATTAGAAATATAGAAGGCCAAAGGTTCAGGCAAAACAAAGAAGTGCATATTTGTCATATAGCAGCAAAAGTTTCTCAGGAATTGATGCAAAGGAAGGGAAGAGTAAACTGGGGATATAGTTGACTGAGATGCTGACTGGCTGATCGGAATTTTTCATAATTTTTATCATGAAAGACCCTAAATACAATCAGAAATATGCGAGGAAGAAAAAATCAGGTGTTGATAAGATTTTAAAACTTTACCGCCTCCGACTGACGCCTTTTAACAACGCCCTTTTCACCATCTCTGAATAGTTCCATGTTCAGATTAACCACTTCTCGTTCTTTATTTTCATGGAGAAGTGGGAAGCCAGGTAGGAATCTAGCAAAAGTAATAATCTTTCTATGGCAAAGGCCACCTAACAAATTAACTAAAAATTCTGGGTTCCAATTACTATTGCCAAGAGGTGTTCAACACGGCAACACCAAATGCACACTATAGAACTTATGTAACTCGTCGTTCAATTTCACATAAATAAAGATCATAACTTCGTACAAAATCTAAAATATCTAATGATAAAGGAGGAGTTTGCTTCAGTAATCAACCAAAAATGAGACAAAAACCTGGGTTTCAACAAGGTTAGAAGCCGATGCCGCCTTTCCTCTGGTATATCTTCAATTTTTTTCCTGTCCATGTATACATCAGAATAGAGCACAAAGCACATTAAAAACATTTGTACTAAAATTACCTAAATTTTTGTCTCCATAATTGAAATCATCTCCTACTTTTAAGGAACAAAACTCCAATATTATCTGAAACCAGTAATCTTATTCCACAAACATAAGGACATTAAAATCATGAGAACGTGTACTAAAATTGCAATGAATTTCCTCTCAAAAAAATAAAAATAAAATCTGCAAAATCATCCTAAGACATTCCTGATTGTTAATAATTATTTGAATAGCTGCCTACACCATGTTAGGCCGAGCTTAAAATTTTCGCTTATAAGTAAAGAAGCAGGTTCCAAATAAAATAATATTTTTATTGTTCAATGTTAAAAATAAGCAAGTTACTTATTTATACGGTATCATAAGATTACTTCTAAAAACTTCCTTTAATATTGAAGTACTTTTTTACTTAAAAAGTAAAAAAACGATAACATTTTTAAGTAACTCTTATAAGCTTAAGCTTAGCCAACATACTCTAAACAATCCCATCCAGATCAATACTGTAAATTTCAACAATATTTTCAGGCTCGAGAATTGTGCAATCAATGTTAAAAAATGCTTGTCCGTTAGCAATTTTTTAAAACTCAATGCTATCTCTCGTTCATAGTTTCAATAGAGTGAATACAATACAAACATAAAGTAATCCTAATCATAACTTTTGCCTAATTAGTCATCACATAGCGCTATGTTACCGAAAAAAGTCAAAAAAATCAAAATACCATAGATATGCGGCGGGATTGTAAGAAGATGGGTCCAACGGAATGAGCTCTTGGGGAGGGTCTAGAAATGCGACCACATCTTGTTCGTCCAAATAAGATATTTTCCCACTCGGCAATACTTCGTAGGGCTTCTCATCCCAAGACGACGTTGCCTCTGCATTTGAATTTGCCTCGGTACGGCCTCTGCGGATTTCCGCAATAGATAAACTTGTGTGCGCTGATCTCCACTTCTTTCCGTGGTCATATGGGAAGTTGAGCTGGTGGCAAAGGCGCAGAGGGTAATTGTAATGTAAGTAAGCCGCCGGCGTTGATGATGGGCGGCTCAATCCAACCACGCCGGCGTGACAGGTGGAGGTGCTAGCTCTCATTCTTTGTACATTTTCTTCTCTCCGGTTTTCTTCGTTTATAGGGTAAATTCCTCCAGGACCCAACCTTTTCTTGTGTTACATTCATGCCCCAATTTTAAAGGAGCGTTTTCAATCAGGCCCCGCTTGGGAGTAATTTTAACCATAGAAAACTAATTTTTTAGTCGTTATTTCACTATTTCAAACGTGATTTTTGACTTTTTCTCTCACAAGTAGCTCCAATTCTTCTCTTAATAGTCAAAAAAATCAATTCTCAAAATCACCTTCGAATAGACGCTTAGGCTTTTTAAAAACTTTAAATAAATCAAAAAGCTTATGAGTATTTAATATAATTTTTTTAAGACTATCTAGAAGTATTATTGTATTCTAGAAATTTTTATAAAATTTCTACATATTCAATTAAAATTTTTTAGAGTTCTCAAATGCTAATTTAATTAATACATTATTCCTCTTACTCTTCTTATTTATAAACGATTTATATACATGCTGAGCAAAACCAAAATGAAGCCATTTTACCTAATTTTTCATTTTAAACAAAAAAAAAGAAGTCTAAATACATTTGTCATAGAGATTAATTTATTTAGATTGTCACAAATATATGGTGAAAGGGAATTGGGAATACATTCGATCAATTTTCACCATATTTCCAAGCAACGAGTACCACATTTTACATCTACAATTAATTAACTAATGTCTAATGGAACGACTGACCACGAACGGATGTGAACAATAAATTTAAGACTTTGTACTACATTAACATAATCACATTCAATAATTCGTTTTAAAATTTACATATATCTATCTACATTTTTATGACAAGCACTTGCGATTATTCTCGACATTGTCATATAAAATTTTGTTTGAATAATCAATATATATTAGCCCTTGTTTTGTAGAAGTTAAAATTAGATTTTGATAAAAATTAATAAAATACATAATCGAAAAATTGTGAATTTTATGAAATATATGATTAAAATTAATTGTTCATTTTAATTTTCAAATACCATCGTTGATTCCTTAAAAAATAATTCTTCTCAAATAGGGCCATGACATGTGTCCTCCGTGAAAAAACAGGACCGATGTGGCGCTTTTTATGTAGCACGGCTAATCCTTAGAATAGACATAAAACAGTCGGTCCAATTAGTGCTACTTGCGTAATTTTCCAATCAATTGTTTGGGCCGGGTCAAATGGACTCAAACCGACTCCAAGATTTGGCTCTGTGAAGATACTAACTTCCAAAATTCGCAAAACCCTAAATCTTTCTCTACCTCCCTCCCCATCAAAATTTATCAGCCATGGTATGTTGAGTTCCACTCCCCCTTCGTAATATTTGCTATTTTTTGTTGAACTGCATTGATATTTAATTTTCCAAATGTTTTCAATTGTTCCGCAATATGTGCATTTCGTTATTAAACTGTGTTGATATCTATTATACCATTAACAGCCGCAAGGAGATTATATAGAGCTTCACAGGAAGAGACATGGCTATCGCCATGATCACTTCGAGCGCAAGCGCAAGAAGGAGGCGCGAGAAGTTCACAAGCGCTCTCAGATTGCTCAAAAGGTTCATCTTTTTTATCTCTTCCTTTCAGTTTTACCTTTTTTGAGAAAAAAATTCTGAAATTAGTTTGCTTAATTGAGTTGAACAGGCTTTGGGTATTAAGGGCAAGATGTTTGCTAAGAAACGTTATGCTGAGAAGGCCCTAATGAAGAAAACGTGAGTTTGTTTTGCAGTTCTAATTTCAGTTTTTTCCTTTGGTCAATGATGTAAATTTTTGGGATTGTTTCTATAGGAGCGCAATGAAATTATGAGCCTCATAAGATGTATTCTTTTATTTATTTGAAATTTTTGTAATGGTGGCTTTGGTTTATTCTTTGATATTTTTCTTTTAAGAACCCTTGAGGAATATAGACGCCATAAACTGAAACAATACCTGGCATGCTAATTTTCTGGGTTTATTTAAGGTTTTTAAGGACCCTGGAATCATATAGAAGTAGAAAATGAATACAATACCAGCCGTGCTAATTTTCTGTGTTTATTAACTAAATATTTTTTAGTGAAGTATTGTGGTTACTCACGCCGTTGATCTCAGTTTGATTGACATTGCAGCATGTTTAACCTTGGTATATGATTTTGTACAAGTGAACAAGGTCTTAAGACATATTAGTGGACTGTTATCTTTATTGTTGAGTCACGTTAATGGCATTCCGTATCTAGTAGACAACTGCTAGGATTACTTATGTGACTGTGTTTGTGTATATATTTTCAGTATGTATGATAGTGATATTGTTTCCTAAAATTTTGTTTGTGTTTCGTTTCCATTTTGGGTGAGGTGGGAGTGGGGGTTGGAAGGGAGTTGAGATCCTAATTGCCCTTTTTTCTGGGAACTGTTGATAGGTTGTAAAAGTAGGTTATTTATGTTTATGTTTTTTCCCCTTCTCTAAATTGATGTAAAGCTGCCAACTTTTTGGATGAATCTTTGTTTTCTGAAGCAAGCTTCTTCATTCAGCTTAGCTGTACATATTATTTTGATATTATATTCTAAAATGCTTGCAAAACCATTACCTTTGCCTTGTGCTCACGAAATGCTCCAATTTTCAATAGATTGGCCATGCACGAGGAGTCTTCAACTAGGCGCAAGGTCGATGATGATGTCCAAGAAGGAGCTGTCCCTGCTTATCTTCTTGATCGTGATGCAACAACAAGAGCAAAGGTGATTTTATATTACTTAATTTGCTTTATGTCTTACTTCTCCCTTATGATGGTAGATTGGGGGTAAAATCTACTTTATGTTTGTACTGTTAGTGAACGTGACATCACTGTGCGCTGCAGGTTCTTAGCAATACTGTCAAGCAAAAGAGGAAAGAGAAAGCTGGAAAATGGGAAGTGCCTCTACCTAAGGTAGCACAACTGTACTGCCTCTAATTTTAGACATGCTGCTTTATCTATAGGAGTTTCCCAATATTTTCAGCGGTTAATATGGAACTCATCAAGTAGGAAACCCCGATTCATTGCAATTTATATGTGTATAACCACAATTCTAGATGTTACACTGCAGTGACTTATCTAGACTCAATGCTCCGCTAAGGAAGATAGAAGAATAGGTAGTAGCACCCTCCTTAGTAATAAACAAAGATTGCATTTATTAGAACATATGGTGCCTCATTTGTAATATACTAAGTTGTCAGCTGAGAATAATTGCATGCACTGTCTGGAAAATAAGTTACAAATTTTTTAAGCTTTTAATACATGATAGGATTAATTTGTTTCTTGGATCAAGAAGAACTCATGTCCGAGACAATGTTCTATGAAACCTAAAAATTATTGTAGGGACATTACTGATTGTTGTATTTTGTAGCATAAGCTGTGATATCGATTGAAAAAAAAAAAAAAAAAAGGTTTGTTTTATAGAAGGTGCTAAAAAATGATTTCCGCAATCAATGTTTGGGTTCTGAGGCTTTGTAATTTCTAGTTTTTAAACTTGTTACCATCTAATTGTAACTGTTCAAAAAGATTTTTTTTATGTCTTGTGCTTGACTTTTAGTCATTTTAATCTTCAGTAGTCTTATCTTATCATGATTGTTATTCTTCCATGCTTAGATAAAGAACAATAAAGTCTGTAAGTCAATGGAACTGGAAAAACAAACAAAATACTGAGAATTTTTTTCCTTGAGTTAACCATTTGGAATGGATGGTGCTTCTTTCATGTACCCGGTTTTAGAACGTGGCAATGTGCAAATAGGAATCCTTGCTTGCATTACTGAGGTGTAAATATAATATGTTTTTGCATACTAGTTTGACTGAGCAGTATGGCTACTTCGTAATTCAACAAGTTGGTGACTGGATTTTATTTCGTTTTTGACTTTTTAGGTCAGACCTGTAGCTGAAGATGAGATGTTTAGAGTGATCAGATCTGGGAAACGGAAGAGTAAGTTTTGTGATGACATGTTTGGCTAAGCTTAAAAAGAGTTACTTATTTGGAAGTAATTCTTATTATTGTGAACTCCTACCATAAAGGGAAATTTATTTTAAAACAAAATGAATGAACTTCTGAGTTAACTTTTTAAGCCTCGCCAAGCATTCTTCTATAATCCTTGTTATTTCTGCTATTTATGGGATTTTGCTTGTTAGGTCATTTGCATTTGGAATTAGTTAGCTGGTAAATTCTCTCTCTCCTTATCCTCCCAATGGTTTTACATTGCAGCTAAGCAGTGGAAAAGGATGATCACTAAAGCCACGTTTGTAGGACCAAGTTTTACAAGGAAACCTCCGAAATATGAGCGTTTCATCCGTCCCTCAGGGTTACGATTTACCAAAGCCCACGTGACTCACCCTGAACTTAAATGTACTTTCAATTTAGAAATTATCGGCGTAAAGAAAAACCCCAACGGTCCCATGTATACCTCTTTAGGCGTTGTAACAAAAGGAACCGTTATTGAGGTAATTTTGGTTACAAAATATAACCAGTCTTTGATTTCAGCATATCATTTCATGCTTAACATCCGTTTTTCCTTTTGGTGACAATTCCAGGTGAATGTTAGCGAACTTGGTCTGGTCACCCCTGCTGGGAAAGTTGTGTGGGGTATGTTCATCCTTTCAACTACCCTTTTTTATAAATTAGAACAGATGGATTTCTACATGTTGCTTGTTTCTCATTTGCTCATGTATGGTAAATGCAGGGAAATATGCACAAGTTACTAATAATCCTGAAAATGATGGCTGCATTAATGCTGTTCTGCTTGTCTAGAAGAGGAGAAAGCTGTCGTCAGCTAATTTGTACCCGAGTAACTTTTGGACAAGTTCTGTTTGGGTGACACTGAGTTATTTTGAAATGCACCATAATTTTGTTTAAGCCTTTTCACTGTTTTGGTTTCCATGTTAGATTATTAGCAGTTTTGTATAATATGCAAATTGAGTTTTTCTTTGTGGATATTTTTCTCTGTTTTTGGTATTTTGTGTGATGCCAATGATAGACTAAGAGCCCGTTTGGTACCCATTTTTTTTCAAAATGCATTTTTCTCTCTTCTTTTAAACCACACATTCTTTATTAAAATAATATTGCACATAAATAATTTTTTTTTCTTATTTTTCAAGAAAACATTTCCCATCAATTTGCTTTTCAAAAATGCATTTTTACAAAAAAATATTTCTCAAACACCCCCTAAGGCTAGTAGTATGTTTGGCTGTGCTTAAGAAGGCAGCCTCTTTCCAATTTGTTTAATTGATGGAATTTTATGTGAACTTGGCTTAATGTGCTAAAATATACAGCTCAAGAAATTTTAAGAAACAACCCTGCTGCCCGTCCCTGACCTTGTCCCCAAGTCGGGATAGGGGCGCCCCTGTCTTCAACCCTGTCCCCAAGCTAGGGCAGGGAGCTTTGTGCTTTAGGAAATGGTCAAAAAGTAATTGAATAGTTAAATATTTTGCTAGTGCGTATGCGTTTTGAATTTGTAAGAAAAGATGAAAATAGTGAACGTTATATTGGTCAAATTGAATGGTGATGGAAAGTAATTATCAATTTGAAAGTAAAAATCTATTATTGTAAAAAATCCATTACAAAATGCTTTGAAGAGTGATAATAGTTAGTCTATCAATTTTTTGGTTACAAAAGATAAAGAAAAATTCTAAAAAATTTGTTGCTGACTTAGGGTTCCTTTGGGAAAGATTATTTCTAGAGAGTGCATAATTAAAACTATAAAAAATTATGAATTCATATAATTTATAATAAACGGTTGAAAATGATTTTGAAGAATTTTTTTTTTCAAAAAATCTCTCTCATACAAGTGTTTAAGCTATTATTTGTTGTTCATTTTTTGGAAAAATATTGTTTTGGATAGAGAACTTTTTGGTGAATGTGTGATTAAAATAAAAATTTTATTTTTTATTATTTTTGTGATTGTATTTGAAAGTTGAAATTTTAAATTGAGTAAGTAGAAAAAAAAAATTAAAAAAATTGAAAGATTTAAAAGCAAAACGGGAGCAGCCCAACAAAAAACACACATTCGGAACCTCCAATACATAGATCCTGGGACAGACCCAAACGAACCAAAATAATAGGCAGCCAAGACTCGAGAAGAGAGAGAAAAAAGAGGCAGAAATGGCGTCATATGCAGCAGTGCCGTTTTGGAGGGCAGCAGGAATGACTTACATAACCTACTCCAATCTGTGCGCGAACCTGGTGAGGCAGTGCCTCAAGGAGCCCTACCGCTCTGAAGCCTTGACCCGAGAGAAGGTCCACTTTTCCGCCTCCAAATGGGTCGACGGCAAACCCCAGAAACCCAGTAATCTATTTTTCTCTCCCGATTATTCTCCCGTTTTTAATTCTATACAGTAATATTTGTTCTGGAGATTCAGATCTTTTGGGTTTCTTTATAAATTTTAGTTGAATTTTCGTTTTCTTCCGTTTTCTAATAATTTTAAATATCATTTTTCGAATCTAGTCTTTATAAATAGCTAATCTTGATAAGATACTGCTTTGTGATTTTAAATGGATTATTCGCTGTACATGTAAAAGGAACTAAATTGTTTAGCAATCTTGGGAAAGTTTCTGAGATGGGAATATGGGGTGCTAGCAGTAGTTCGTATTATAACACTGCCATTATGTGCAAGAAATTTCATAAAAGTGTCTTGCTATTTGAGGGAAATTGAAATACTCTATGAAGTCTGCCATCTTTTCAGGGCTCTCTTTGTTTTTGCTTGTTTTCTATGAGAACTGAATATTATTTGTTGGGTGTTATTATGATTGCCATAAATTAGAATGAAAATCTGAAACAAGCAAAGTGACTGCACAAATTTATGGTAGTACACTTTCAACGTGAGGGTGACATCTAATTGTTATGCAGATTTTTTCTATAATAGAGTACAAGAGAGTCGTCTTTCTCCTCACACCTCTCATACACCCAAAATTAGCATGTAAAATTCTTAATACAGTAGGAATATTGGGACGACCTAATGCATTTATTCTGTACGTCATATTAGGCCTATGGTTGAATTGAAGGATAACTGTACAACTTGATAGGCTCCATAGTTTTAGAAAGGTAAGTTGATGTTTATTTCTGGTCATATAGAAGTTCTACAGACATAATTGTGATGATTACCGGCATAAGGATTTGATTACTTGGTAATTGAATTTAATCTTTGGCATTATTACCACCATTATTGTTTTACTTAACAAATGATCATTGGTAGAAAATTTCTAGTGTGAAGAAGCTCTATTAAAAATGTTTCTGTTCGTGCTTTTTGTTATTCTGTTGAGTAGAAAAGTGGCATTTTGATAAGAAGTTCGTGGTTTCTCTCGATAGCGAGGAGCTGAAGTGAAATTTTGGGGATTTAATGACCCACTTCCTGTTGAAAAATTTATGTCAAAAGACTTGGATGAGATGTGTTACAGTGGTCTTAAAACTCTTGCACGGTTTTACATACTAGCTGGTCAGCTGCCTTGAAGTGTGGACAAACAATTCTACTATGTGATTTACAAATCACTCAAATGTGTTTGTTTTCTTATTGTTGAGTAATTTTCTTGTTAAATTAACAAATATATTGTTGTTCCCGAGACTTCAAAGTTGTACCGATTGTTTTGTTAGTTGGTGAGGTAGTGGGGTGGTTGGACTTCGTAGTTCCTTTCCACAAGCTAAAATCTTTATGCTCATTAGTTTTTATTTATTGCTTTCAAAGGAGGATATCTGTGGTACAATAAGGCATCCTAATGTTATTTTCGTCAGTTTGTTGCATGTGTAGTTCATATTTGACACATAGCATTGTGCAAGATTAGGCACGAAAATATTTTATTTGTTTGTTGCTATTTTGATATCTACTGCCAAGTTTATTTTGCTTTCTTCTAATCAATTGTCATTGACTTGTGTTCTCAGTCATTCGATCAGATACTGGGGAAGAATGAGGATGGACAGAGGCGTTTAGTGCTTTACGAAGCTTATTCCTGCTGGAGGTCTTCTTTTTAAAACTTTTTTTTTTTTTTTTTTTTTTATCCCTAGCTTCAAACTTTTGGGGATATGAACTATTTACATCAGACAGTTGTCTGCTGAGTTTTCACTAAGTCACATGTAATAATGTAACTTTTGTGACCCAGTTTGTGCTGCTTCTTTTTTGTCGCTGAATGAATAATGGTTTTTCTTCTTTCAACTCTGTGATTCTTGAGCAGTGAATATAACACCATGCCAACTCACTGTATTGGTCTTTTCTCAGCAGCCATTTTAACTTTCAGCTTCATCCACCTTGAAACTTTCACGATCCCAACTTGTGAGTTTGTTTCCTCTGACTAGTCTAGACATATGACCTACACACTTACTACCTCTTCATCTTTGTGGCTTTGACAACGGTCATGTTTAAATGCACCTTTTGGACACGTTTTCTTCTAATCCACTGTGAAATCTTAAGATTAGGAGACGAAGAAGCGTAAAAATTACACTAACTAGTAATAGGAAGTAAATCATTGTTTTTAGTTAGTTAATTGTTAGTGGCATCAACAAAATCATTTCGCTCAAGGGAAGCACACTCAAAGAATGGCATAGGGTCCTTCATTTCTACTATTTTACAGCTCCCCCCTCATTTTTTATTAAATAATATACAAACGTGTTGAGAACTCGATATAAATTGTTGAAATAGCTTTATTTCGTATTTCCTGAATCTTATTCTCTTTTTAAACTTGATGATAAGTAATTTTAAGTACAACTAAACAGGCTATGTTTCACTGGTTCAACCAAAATCCACATTAAGGAGACAATTTTAGTAAAGTTGGATGAAATTATTACCCATATTTTCAACATTGAAGATATAATTCTTACGAAATCTCTGAAGAACACATTTACTAATAAGAAATTATTAAAATCTGGCAGAGAAGAGGGATGAGTCCTTTTGATAATTGCAATTATTGTTTGGAACGTGCTATTTGCACAGGGTCCTGTGCACAGGCTGTGCACAGGGTGTGAGAGGGGGGGTGGACCCCACAAACATGTGGGGTCCACCCCCCCTCTCACACCCTGTGCACAGCCTGTGCACAGGACCCTGTGCAAGAAGAAATATCCTTATTGTTTTCCTTTCCCTTCGATACTAGGGAAAAATGTTCAGAATGAGATTATGCTAACATTTCTATTTATTGGGTTAGCTACAAATACATTACGTTGTAGAAATATTCAAAATTTTGTCAGGTTTATATGATATCATGATATGGAGTTCCCGGTTCTGTTGTAGAGAAACCTTCTTCTTGAGAAAACACTCCTTCAGGGTGATAAAAAGTGCTGATTGCTGGACTTCGTGGAAAGTCTGGAGATACTGCAATTGATTCAGCTGTTCTGTCCCCTTCACCTATCCCACCTTGTTTTTTGGATCCTTCAGATGACTTATTGTTTTCCTCGTCAAAGGTTTTTGCTAGTAAAGAAAGCTTTTGTGTGATGGAAGTGCCTGAGGCTAAGATGATTCTGTTCTCGTAAAAGAAGATGGACAAGTATATGATGAGAGCACATGATGATGATACACCTGCAGTAAGAAAAAGGCCCTTGAAGCTATCGAGAGAGAGACGATTGGAGATAATCACAGTTCCATCTTTCCCAGGGCAACCTTCTTCCTCACCGAACCATTCTCTTGATATTCTCACCATTTTCTCTCCCTCTGTCACATTCAGAATTGCTCTTGAAAACTCAGGGACTAGGGGAGAACCCTTTGGAAATGCCTGAGAATTTCCAGGGCAAAATAGAATAAAGCACCAATCTAATGAAATATAGACTGAGAAAGCTATATTGCAAGAATAAGAAGATGATGGACATTTCATAAGTTAGAAATCATATGGTGTCCGTATCAGATTGCTAGAAAAGTGAAGATTCAGAAACTTGGAGGAATTTGAGAATACGGACTTACAAATCCAAAGCCAGCGGCTTTGTAGGTTGGACCAACAATGGCGTACTTGCTGCAGTGCTTAGCAAGGAAAGGCCTAATATAAGGAAGTTCATCAACAATTGCAGCAACTCCACCATTTCTGCTACCTCTGGAAAGGGCTTCGTTGTACTCCTCGTAAGTGCTATAATTTCTAAATTTGGAGCTATCAAACTTCAAGTCCACGAGGAGTCCTGGAATAAATGATCCACTATGGTAGCCAACGTACTCTCCATTTTTTATCAGATCGTAGATAGAAGGTTGAAGCTGTTGTACAGTTAACATGGATGTCAAGCTGGCTGTGTAGCTTGATGTCAGTACAAGAACCACGAACACCCATACAATAACCACAAATCTTGATAAGTTGTTTACTACTTTCTCCTCTGTCACAAGTGCATTTGATGCAGTGTATATTTTAGTTTCTGCTAAGATGGATTAAAGATTTTCGGTAGACACAATATTGTTAATTGAAGTGGATTAAGAACTTACTATGGGCGAAAACAAGTGTTGAGAAGGAGAACCAGAAGATCATTCCAATTTGTTGGGAAGGTGGACCTCTGAATTCTTTGTTCACACGATGCTCGAGAACCCAAACCACGAATCCAGTGTAGATGAAAAATCCTCCAATTGTTAACCAGAGGTCCATCGTAAGAGGTTTCATGAAAATCCAGGCATTCTTCCTCTCATCATTCTTGATTGGTACAATTGTTGACACGCCAGATTCTGTGAAAGGTAAGGTGAAATCAACGAACCTGGATCTGTTGGTTACAATGGTCACGTCTCCAACAACCGCATCATATTTCTGTCATTGACAGGAATGTAGCATGGAAAATAGATGCAGATGGCATAAATAAACTGATACACAGCATTAAAAAAGACTTGATTCTTAAGCTTCTGCATTACCTCGAGAAAGATCTGGTAAACAAGTTCATCGTAAGTTCCAGCACTCTGACCATCAGGGGTTGCGAAAGGAATAAATTCGTAAGGGACAAGGTATGGCAATGACTTCACCACTTCTTTGAACACATCTATGCAGAAACCTGTTGCAATAAAATCATTTCTTTCAGGGTTCTTTTCCACTTTTACAAATTCACTGAACCCTCTTTTGACAGGAATTCCGATTCTCAACTTCTTCCCGCCAGTTGGCACTTGCCAGCCTTTCGGAATAACTCCAGTCTCACCTGGCCAAACAATGGCTACAAGATTATCCTTGTCGGTCGGATACACAGCTTTACCATTTGGTTTCATTGTCTTTGAAATGCCATGTTGTTCAGTCCAGTATCCAATTGTCCTATCTCCATTACCAATTACATTCACAATCTCATACGTAGATGGCTGTAGTTGTCCATCAGTGATGTGGAAATCGCCACTTAAACCTTTGAAATTAATATTCCTAACTGAATCAACAAGTGTTGGTCCAATATTTGAAGTTCCAATTGCGTCCAGGTCTGTCGAGTTCTCTCTAGTCACTGGTTTTTTAAACTGCTGGACGACTGCACCAACTTTGTCCACAGCTGTTGCCAATGCCGTAACCATGTCATATGCCCACAGCCCATAAACATTGAGATGAAGATTATCCGTGTCTGGATTCTCATCCTGGAATTTCTTTCTCCATCTTTTAGTGAAGTAGCTGAGTTTATTAGATTTCGGGATATGAGCCTTCACCCCTATTACGCCTTGCATTGCATCAATGACTATTGAATCCACAGAATCCAAGAGACTAGTCAGTACATCAGCAATGATCCAGGCATATCCCTTGGTCATCATTTCTGCTTCTTTTGCCCTCAGAAAAAAACTAGAAGCAAGACAAGGTAGCATGTGCACAACAAAAACCTCAGTCTGCATAGTCTTTAACTTGTAAAGCTCTTGAAGTATTTGTTCATCTGTAGCTGAAGGAGATATAATACTTTGATAGGGGACAAAAGCATCGATTTCTAGCATGGCATCAGTCAAGAAAGGTACTATTCCACTACCGTAATTGTTATCCTGGTATATGAATACTACTTCCCTCCACCCAAAGGCTTTAACGATTCCAGCAATGGCTTTAGCCTGGAAGGATGAACATGGCGCTGATCTGATGAAGTACGGGGATTCTTTGGGAGACAGAGAAGGAGTTGACGATGGAGAAATTATTGGAATATTCACTTTGTTTCCTAGATCGATTACAAAGTCTGCTTGTGTTGATTTTTGAGGCCCGAGTATCGCCTGTACTTGGACGTTTTTCAGCAGGTCTATGGCTGCAATAAATGCCAAACAATTAAACCATAGATTTGTTAGTCAATCGATGCACAAATTGGAGTCAAGTTTTGAACATGGAAGATGAAAAGAAGAATAGACAACGAACATGCCTGCAGATGCTGCATCGACATCATCATTGTTGGAATTCCTCAGGTGAGTGACAATTCTTGTGCTATAATTGTGATTGGTATAGAAATCTTCAATTGCCATCAACATGCAAGTCCGGCTTATTTTTCCAACATGTGTGTCCAAATCAAGAATTATCCCAACATCAACCTTTACAGCAGTTGCATTCTCACCATCCAATGGTGCAATGCAAAAGCTTATGATGAAAAGGAACACATAAAGCCCGAAGAATATTGGATTCTGCATAGGAGGAGCTCTATGATTATCCCAACCAATAAATTTCTCTCCTACTACGCCGCATGCAAGAAGGAAGTTTGAGCTTGATGCAAATGGCTTTGAGATTTCGAAAAACAAAAGAATAATATAAGTTGATAAGTTTTGCAAAGACAAAAGTTCAGAGTTG